TAATTAGAAATTCCGGATGAATACCGTCTTCGCCAGGAGACTTCTTGCACTTTAGCTGTTTTATCGCAGCATTAAGTTCGCAAGGTCTGAATGGTTTAGTAAGTACATTATTTGGTGTTGTCATGTCTTCCTTAATTTCACCCATCTGTCTTACTTGTATCTTTAAATCTCTTAAAGATTTTCTGACAAAAGGGTTTTTCTTTTGCTTGTGGAAATAGAACCTTGCAAAGTAGTTAGCTATTTCGAAGTCGGTGGTAAGCAGTTTGTTTTTTAAACGTATTGGTTCTTTCTTGGGTCTTTCCTTGTTGTTTTGGAGGTTACCCAGGAATTTGAAAGTGCGTTGGCTATCACTTTGCATGTATAAAGTATGAAGTAGGAATTCAACAGCAAAAAGACAAAAGCTCACCAGGTTTGAAAGCAGATGCCATGATGGCTGACGCCTTGTTAGCAGCTTCTAGTCTCGCAGCGATTGGGTCCACGGGCTTTACGGATTCCCTTGCCTAGAAAAGGAAAAATACAGAATGATACATTAGCTTACGAAGCAACTGCTACAAAATAATTGGTAGTTGTTTTCCATCAAAGAAACCATTTTAAATTCCAAGGAAAACCAAAACTGAAACAAGGGTTCCAGCCAAACGTATAGATTATGAAAAAGCAAGATAAATAAAAAAACCTAACCAGGGCAAGCGAATTCTAGCAACATGGCAGAAAAGAAAATAACACACTTGCTTACTTTATTTAGAAATAAAAACTACAAGCAGGATACCTTATAGCGCAGCTATGGTTCTCGAATAATGGGAACAAGCATTGTTAAGCAGCGCTTCAACGAAGAGCACTAGCGCAATGCCAAAGAAAATACGTTCGTAAACTATTACCGCAAATTCAGTGAATACAGTTTGTCGGGCAATAAATAACGATGAGATGAACAAATTCCCCTTCCACATTATTCCACAATCATGACAGCTCAATCTATCAAATATTAAAAAACAGGAGGGTAACTGGATCTTATTCAGTACCCCTTAGAGATCTGCTTCAGACAGTTGAAGAAACAGCTCCGAGCCAATTTTTCTAGAACATAATTTGCAGTCTAAATCTAAGAATATAGAAATATCAGAAAAGGGAACTAACAGAGAAACTAAAACACTAATCGGCAAAAGAATGAACAAAAATCCCATTATTTAAAATAAATTCCCACTGCGGAATTAGTATCACGGCTTTAAACAAATTTTAAATTAAATAAAGTAGGTTTACCTACTCTAGCGAGTTCGCCGCGTGATCCGACAATTTTCCTCGAGAGCGCTCCATCTCGATCTCTTTCACAACGTGAAGACCGCCGATCACGAGATCTACTGCGAGAAGCTGAGGAACGAGAAGCAGATGATGATGACCTGGGCCTTCGTCGCCTTCGGTGGGATGACTCATCACGACTGCGACGTCTTCTATGACGATGCCGACAGTCACGGCGATGACGGTGAGATCTGTGGCTACGACTGTAACTTTTACTCCGGCTTCGACGACGACGACTATTCCCGTGCTTTGAACTAAATAGAGGGATTATTGGCTATTTGGAACAACAACAGTGTCAGATTAACAAGAGCAAGAATTAATGCATTCCAATTTGCATATAAAATAAAAACAAGAGTAAATAGAAATTAGGTAATTCAACATACCGCTTTAATGAAGAGCCCTCTCGTGAAGAACTTCGTGAAGCTTTGCGATACTGACGAGGGATTTTGGAACCAACTCGAGGCGTACCTTCTTTTACAGACTTATGATCATCAGATTCATGGGAGAATGAATATTTTGGAGTTTCTGTCTATAAAAAATAAATATAATAAATTTGTAGAGATTAAATAAAATTGTTTGAGGGAAACAATTACCTTGTCATTAACCGATTCAAGGACACCCCCCGACTTAGATTCATCTCCAGATTCCTGCATTAAAATTGTTTAAAAAATAATGTTCGTACGGTGAACAAATTTAGACAAATGCTTACATCCATCGAAGAACCGTAATCACACAATCTACCATCAACCTTCCCAGCCATTTTGATAAAATAAGAGATTTTAACAAATGCATAAGCGCGCAGTTGTATTAGATTTATTCCAAATGGCTATAAACCGATGAAGTGATATTATATAGTATGTAATAAAACGCAAAATATAACAAGTCATTTCTGAATTAAATTGCATATCATACAAAAAACTGTATAATTTTATTAATGATTTGACTGGTCGTGTTAAGAGCACTAATTGATTAAAATAACTAAAAATAATGCTTTTCCTTCAGATCAGTTAGCATAATTAGTAGAGTTCTGTCGTGATTAAAAACAACTTAAATTTCTTTCAAAAATATATGCCTGGCGTACATAATCAAACCAAAAGTAGCATCTTTAAGAGTATACATTTTTTGAATTCTTTCTTGTGCTCTAATAAATGCGATGACAGGTTATGATGTTTTATTCTATTTAACTAGGTAGGTCTCCTATTCATGTTGGAGTTTTTCTGAAATGGGCACAAGTAACTTGCCTCCTTTCTGTTTTTTTGAGAGGTGAAAGTGCTAATAGATGAAGGAAAACATCGTTAATAGATATAAATGCTTTTGGCCTCTCTAATGTTACTGATACATTTTACGTTCCTGTGTTGACGCCACAGAACACTTGATAATGTAATTAGAAATGAATGAAAAATTGAGTATCTTGATGAGTTCATTATCAGTCGACAATATAATTTCAGAATAAAGTTTATATTCAATATGTTACATTATATTTTATTTGGAAATAAGACGAAATAGATTTACTTATTAATATTTTGTTGTCCATGCTATACGAAGTTTTTTCATTTATTAATTGCTTCAATAATGACACTATTTTTATTAACGTAAAGTTTCGATAATGTTATATTATTTTTTATTGAACCATAGATTTTCAAATCCAACTCAACTCTCAGCATATCCAGAATTAATGTGTAAGTGTCAAAAATAGATTTTTATGACGGGCAGAAGTATTGGTTAGCTCAAACAATAATTTTTTAATTCATTTGCCCACCATAGACTTTAGACTTTCCCATGTGGGCTTTTTATTGTTTATATTTACATATTTCAGAACTATTCTTATTAAGGATAAGTTATCACAATCATTGGGTGTACGAAAGATCTACCTGCACTTGTTGCACACTTTGAAACATATATTCTTACTCCAAAAAAGTATATAAACCGGCAGTTAACTTCTGATTTCAAACTACTATGACACGACTGTATGCCATATTCGACAACTTTCACAGTTCTCCCCTCACCTTACCTTTATATCACTCTTCTGCTCCCCCTCTCGACTTTTTGTAACGTTGATGTTCCTCACTTCTGTTAAATAAAGTACTAATGATAACTAGCAAAAAGCCTGCCATTTGAAATAGCTAAATAGCATAAATTAAATATAAGGCCTAAATGTACTAAATCGGCTTGCTTACGGCAATCAATTACCCTATAAATGAATATTAGTGATGGAAGCTTTACCAGTACGAATACAGCATATTCCAATTTCCAATTTGTTTGAACTGCTATCTGATTAACTACAGTTATTGGGCAAAATAAAAACACGGTATGATATATAATGCATGCGAGACTAAAATCTAACTTAAAGTCAGTCTTAAAATCTCAAATTTTTTGCCTCTAGGATTTGAGAAAACATCTTCTTTCGTGTTGAATGAAATAGTGATCCATTACATTTTAGCATAATATTGTCACTGCATATTGGAAACGCTTTTGTCTGCGATTAAGTTCCTGCAGAAGAATAAGATAAAAAATTTAATTTTTTTCCCAAATGGTCAAAGAACTAAAGATTTTTTGTCATGAATCCGAATTTCTAACATAATTTAGAGCTATATTATGGCATCTACTAATTTTATCCAGAGATTGTTTTCCAGTTAAAATATGAATATTTTTGAAACATTTCCATTACAAACGAAAATATAAAAAGTTAATGGACTGAAACCTCTTATTTCTTATTAAAATACAAAGTAAGGTTGACAATGACGCTATACCACTGATCACACTCACACTTTAACACCGCCTATAAAAAGAAAGAGATGATCTGGAGATCTTGAAAAACTACATATTATGAACTTAGGCCAGACAGATTATTGAAAAACCAATTAAGCTCATTTACTAAATACGCAACCAAATTGGGTTCAACCTTCGATACCAGTGCAGGACTATAATCTAACGTACTGAAAAGCATTTTTGCATTCATCATATTATTACTGATATTAGACATCAGGCACAAATAATTATGGATTAGTAATAATAACTCTTACTTAGAACATCGATCTTTATTAAAACATTTGCCTAATATTCTTTGAAAATTACGAACATTGTATTGCATCATTATAGTTGATTAATGTTGGATATCATAACCCGAAATGAAATAAAAATTATAAGGAATTTGATTTTAAGAAGTAACTATGATAATCTGTTAACAGACCATGCTGAATATTGCAACAATAAGTTTACATAATTTTACTTACCTACTTCATACTTAGCAACTCACTTGACCTAATAAGTTTGAACATTTTACTCACTTCGGATTATTTATTTAGATTTATAATCCAAGTTATAATACTCGTTTTGGTTTTATGCGAGTAAATATTAATTGACCTTCATGGTCATTAGACCCGCCATGTTTGTATTGACTTACTGTCGTTAATAGGCTATGTATATCGTGGCCAGATTTATCTGCTATTCTATAAAAGGTTGCAGGTCTGTACCTACCAGATTTTGTATACTGTCTTTATGTAAATTTTTCGTTGATATTTTAGCTGTATTATAAGTAAATTTTTTATTTATGACATAATAATTTAGTTTATGCGCTCTCTGTAGTTATAATATTTTAAATTTTTCATACAGTTCATTTGGTAATGCTTCTTTTCAGCGTTTTCTTGAGCATTTGCAAAGCCTTTTGCTGGTTTTACATGCATTCTAGTCGATATTTTATATCCATACTCTGTTTACATATTTTTCGAATTATTCCGTCTTTGCTATCACAAAGTAAATCGTTAATGATCGATTTTAGCTTCAAATTGTGTTTTTAGAATTTGAGTTGATCTTCTTCAGATAAATAGTAAGGTTTCGTTACTTTACTTAATTTCTTTTCGGTTACAATTTCGACCTTTCATTTTGAATTTAGACATTATTGACTGCTTCCCTACAATTGCATTATGGAATTCCCACAACTTTAAAATCCTCTTGGATATATAACTGATAGTAAGTTTTGCTCTTAAGCTTTTTATGCTTCTTTGTTTATGTCAGTGCCTAACATTATTTTCTATGGTTTGGACATATTTATTGCTTCTAGTTTTTCAGCTGGTATTTGATATTAAACTTATATTTCTTCATTTTTAAATTTCTTCGGTTATTTAATATTTCTCCATTTACCATGAAATGCTTTTGTCAAATATTACGGTTTGTTTTTAATTTTACTAAGAAGAAACTCTACGTACTGATTTGGCGTTTTAGATCTTTAATAATACATTTCAAATCTCTGGTGGAACCAGTATGTATGTCCACTTAGAGACCAATATTTTTAATTTTAAAGGAAAATACTATATATTTGCTCGCCAACGCTTGTCCATCGGCTAACTAAATTAATCTTACTCTTCCTTGTACTTAAAATTGCTTTTTTGATAAAATGAAGCTAATAGTATTGTAGATAAAGTCAGCCACGTATCAATTTACCTAATCTTCTATTCACAAACGACCCTGGATTAGATTTGACTATTTACTTTATCCGAGAATATCTTGCGGCGTCTAATAAGCAATAAATTGTCTAAAACATAGGGAGGTATTGATGCCAATCAAATCTTTCCTTCCATATCCTCTACAGAGTATGCATTAACCAAACTCCTGATCACCGATTGTCTTCCATTTCGAAACTTATGTTGTTGGATCCATTATATTAAAGATTGTTTGCAATTTATTTTAGAGTTGCTTTGCTGCTTTTTTAGATGTAATCCGTAAAGTAATGGAATAATAGTAGAATAATTCCATTACTGAATTGGCTGCAGTGTATCGATAATGGTTCTAATTATGCTGATGTGGACAAATAATCAGTCTTATGATTAATTGTCCAGCTCTTAGGTGTGTGTGTGTGCGTGTATGTGGAAATGTACGTTTTGTGTACAATGACATAGCTCATGGAACATTTTCTTGCGCTGCACACTACCAAGAGTCGAATTACATCTCCTCACATTCACCTCTCACTTGTATATTTTCTCTATACCCCACTTTCCTATTCCATATTTGGCCTTTGAAATATTTCCTTGGGTG